GGCCTGCGGGAGGGGGGGTTGGCCCCGGGGCAGGAGGAACACGGGTGTTTCCCTGGCCTGTGGGAGGGGGGGTTCGCCCCGGGAGAGGCGCATGCCGGCTTCTCTCTGGGGGGGGTGGGATCTTGGGAGGAGGCAGGTGCAGGGGACTCTCTCCCCCAACTGGCACCCTGTTCCCTCTCCCTGGCCCCCAGCCACAGAACTCCATCCCCAGCCCCCCTCTCCCCAGCACAGAACCAAAACCTTCAGTCGATATCTGCCCTTGGGGTTGGGGGGGAAGGGGCACCGATTGCATGGTTCGCCTAGGGCACCAATTGCTGGCCGCTAGTCTAGGGCTGTCCCTGATTGTATTACTGAGATGCCTCAATTTATATCAGGTATCTCTTAGGCTGAACATTAGAAACACATAGTGGGTGACAGAGAGCCTGAAATCCACAAACAAAAGACAGAGGGTGAGGAAAAGGACATATTTCTATTCCCATTTCACGAATAGAAAAATGAGGCACAAACAGTTTGACTAGCCCAAGGTCACACAGGAAGCCTGTGGCAGAGCCAGGAAATGAAACCCAGTCATATATATAAATTCTCTCACACATAAATAAATCTGCTGGGAATTGTCAAAGAACTATGACGTCTCACTTGAGATTTCACATTACTCACTCTCTTCCCAGTGTTTTTACACACACACACACTCTCGCTCGCTCTCTTTATGTTTTTCTGCAAATCTCTCAGATGCCAAATATGCTATGAATATGAGTCTTTATTTGCAATAAGAGCTATATCAGAGTGATCTGTTAATATAAGAGTCAATGGGATATTTTAGTTGGCCTGAGTATTGCTCAACTGTTCATGGTTTAAGTGATTTTTTTTCTCCTTCAGAAACAAATAAAAGTCAAAATATGGTGGAGAAAAAGGTTGAAAAGGAGACTGTATTATATTTGGAGTAACGTAGAGTGCTGAGGGCCAATGAAACCTGGCATATTGGATCTCAGACTCTGATTGAGTCAATATATTGACAAGGGGGAAGGAATTTTTAGCTCCATTCAAGAGACGGAGAAATGAAGCAAAAAGAGATTAAGCTTCTCTCTGAAAACACTTATTTGACTAGCATTGAATGAATCCCAGATACTGATTTGGTGTCTAAAAAGAAGGAATATTTAAGATTGCTGCAATCTCCCGTCAGAGACCTCCTACCCTCTGGCTGAAGGTATGGCTACACTAAATAACAAGGTGTGTATCCACAGAGCAAACACATTATTTCAAAATTATTTTGAAATAATGGGTTTCTTATTTTGAAATAATACACTGTCATTTCACAAGGAATAATCCCCAGTTTGAAATAGCTATTTCAAAATACAGTGAGTGTGGATGGTGCACCTGTGCTTATTTTGAAATAATTGGCCTCCAGTGCTTCTCACAGCTGCCCTGGTGTCCACCCGGTCCACATCCCTCAAAACTCTAGAGCTTCCCTTCCCCTGCAGCAAGTAAAGATTCAGGCAGAAGTGAAAGGATTTGTGGCAGCACACTAGCCCTGCCAGCCCTGTGCCACAGAGCAGCACCCATCAGTGAAGCCATGAGCGACCCCAGCACTCCCACCGAGCCCCCCAGGGCTGCAAGTGAACCAGCAGCCACCTCCAAAGCGCCTGGTCAGGCGCAGAAGAAGAGGGCCCCTTCCTGGTCTGATGCAGAGATCCAGGATCTCACTTGAAATGCCGACATCTACAGCCGGATGGCCGCCAGCCTGGCCCAGAAGGGCCACATGCGCACCCAGGAGCAGGTGCACATGAAAATAAAAGAACTGCACCAGGACAACACAAAGGCCAGGGAATGAAGCTCCTGATCAGCAGCAGCACCCCAGTCATGCCGCTACTTTGAGCAGCTGCATCACATGGGGGGGGGGGGGTTTGTCCCCTCTCCCTCCCCATCATTGACTTTGGCCTGAACATGCCCATTGTCATCCTTGAGGAGGGCGAGGCTGTGGAGGAGGAGGTGAAGGAGGAAGAGGAGACCAGACAGGACATGATGCCCTACAGCTAGGAGGTCATAATCTCCCAGGAGCTGGTGACCCCCTCCCAGGATGACTTCCAGGCCTCAGAAGATGCCAGGAAAGGCCCATCAGGTGAGTTCCATCACTTTCCTTATCTACATGCAGGGGCAGGCATCAGGCAGCAAGGAGCTGCTGCGAGCTCCTCGTTCAGCCTTCTTGGCCTGAGGATCGCACAGCAGCCTGTGCACCTGGAAAACCAGTCCAGAGCAGACAGCCCCATGAAGCTGCCACACAGGAATCAGTCAATCCTTCTATCAATATTTCTTGCACAGGCCTGCCTTCCTCTGGACTCTGTAGTGTGACATCTTCCCACTACAAGCCACCACTAAGGTTGCTGGGGTCAGGGAAACACAAGCAGTACTGCACATGGCACAGGCTCATTCTCACTTGTCCCTGGGAGGTAGGGGGAGCAAGGCTCCCTCAGAGTGCCCATGACCCTGCAGGAAAGTACCTGCTGCCTAGGACACAGATGGCCTTCTCAAAGCACTTCACTGTCATCTGAACCAGAACCTTTCAGTGTCAGCTCACACATTAGAGTTAGGCCTCATGCTACTGTCTTCTGGGATGACTGGCCTTCTCACTTTTCTTCACAGCTGGATCAGCTGTGAGTAAGGCAAGTACAACACCTCCTGCACCATCCTCCCGACCCCATGAGATGCGCCAGTGAAGGCAACCCCAGGATGCCCTGGCAAGGGTACACCTGGAGTGTCTCTGTTACCTCAATCAAAACTTTGAGGAGGACTGCCAGGAGCACTAAGCTGACCAGGAGCTGCACCACGCTGTCTGGGGGATGCTGTCCCAGCAGCACGAAAGGATGTGCACAGCTTACACCAAAACCATCAAGCTCATGGCCGCTGCTATAGAGCAATCAAGCAGCCGTACCCCCCATACCCGCTCCTTCCCAAATCCCCCTTGCACTCACTCATTCCCACCTGCCCCTGCCCCCAACTCCCTGGCTTCTCTTCCTAGCCCCTCTGGACCCTCACAAGGTGGTGGGATCACTCAAGGCAGGTGCCACTCCCAGCCCCAGCCCTTAGCTCCTCCTTCTCCCTCTCTTCCTCCTTCTTCCCCCTCCTTTATTCAGTTCTTCCCCAGGTCTAGATTCCCCATATAAAAATCAGAGAATTTGTTTCAAACAAAGTCTGGTTTATTTGGTCTGCAGGAGAGCGGGGAACGGAGAAGATAGGTCAGGGGAAGGGTAGGGTGAGAGAGGAAAGGCACACAGGAACTATTCAAAGGCTCCTTGTGGGGAGGTCCAGAGGAGAGTTTCACAGCTGGCCTTGTCTGAAACTCTCCCTTGGGGTCGCCTAGATGTGCACAGGCCCCTGAGGGACTTGCTAGATGGCAGCAGTGTGTGGCTGCTAAAAAGTCCTGAGCCATTCGGCCTCTGCCCCCCACTCTGGCAGGAATGTCTCCCCCTTGTTCTCACTCAGGTTGTGAAGGACACAGCAGGCTGCCACCACCTGGAAGATGTTCCAGTCACCAAGGTCCAGGAGGGTGAGGGTGAAGAGACACCAGAAACTCCCTTTGAGATGTTCAAAGGTACCTTCCACCATGATGCAGCACCTGCTGAGCCTGGCATTGAACCATTCATTGGTGGGGTTCAGGTGTCCCCTGTAAGGCTTCATCAGCCAGGGGAGCAAGGGGTAGCTTGCATTGTCCACGATGCACATGGGCATGTCTATATCCCCAACTCTGATGGTGCAGTTGGGGGGAAAAAGTGCTGGCGTGCATCTTCTGGTACAGGCCGGAGTTCAATGTTGATATTGGTGAATCGGCCCCAGTGGTACACATGGGCCTGCAGGACCATTAAAAAGTACCCCTTCCAATTGGTGTAATTGGAGGCCCAGTGATCGGGGGTCTGGGTTGGGATGTAGGTGCCATCAATGCCTCCTTCCCAGCAGTTGGGGAATCCTAGGGCAGCAAAGCCAGCGACAATGGGGTCCACATCTCCCAGGCTAATGACCCTGCACAGCAGAATGGCATGGATGGCACTCACCACCTGTAGAATGATATAAGCAGAGAATCACTTGGTTGCCACAGTTCTTGGGAGTTCCATGAGCCCAAAGCCCCTTCCCACAGCAGGAGCAACCCCAAGTATCCCAACAAGACTTTGTGAAGCTGGGACTGAAAAACCTCCAGGGAAGGAGATTCCACCACCCGCCTTCCTGTAGGGAACACCATTCCAGTAGTTCACCACCCAGTGTTCAGCATGGTGAGCTTCCAAATGTGATGGTGACATGCTTTTGGAGGGGGATGGTGGGTCACATGTGGGTGTCGTGTCACCAGAGGGCAGGGGCGAGCCAGTCACACAGCGTCAGGAAGGTGTCCTTCCACACGAAATTCTGGAGCCACTGCCGGTTGTCCCACCATTCCATGATGAACCAGTCCCACCAGTTGGTATTGGTGTCCCATCTCCAGAAGCAGGAGAGTGTGGGAGGAGGGGGGGGATTGTGGTGCATGAGAAGTGCCTGAGCCTCGGTGAGGAGGTCCCCCATTTCAGACTGGTGGTCATCATCAAGCAGTGCCATGAGGGCAGCCTGCATAAACTGGGTCAGGAGTTGCATCAGCAGGCCTAAGAGCCGGTGACTCCTTTGCAGCAGGTCCAGCTCTATGGTAGGAGTACTTTGGCATCCACAAGGGCAACCGGAGTACACGGTGTGGTATTTGCTGTCCCTTGAGGAGGTAGGCAATGGAGAAGAGTCTGAGACACAGCAGTAGAGGGGAGCCCCTTTAAGCACAAGCCTCACGAAGCAGCTCCAGCAAGTGAGTGCTGTCCTGATATCCTGCCTAGAGTGCTTCTGGGCAGTCTTAATTAACTGATTCAGGCTCCAATCAGTGTGAATGCGCTATTTCAATATAGATCTATTTCGATGGGGATTTGTAATGTGGGCTCGTTATTCTGAAATGGTTATTGGGAGTTATTCCAGAATACCTTATTTTGAAATAATGCTGTAGTGTAGACATGCCCTTGATAGGGAACAAGAAGTGGTCTTTGAACTATACCCCAAAGGGTGAAATAATAGAAATGGTTAGGATCAGGGGAGAGGATATTCCAGAGTTTGGGGGCTTTGTAGAGAACATTCAGCCTGTTATCACTCTCTCTCTCCCACACATGGGTTTTGAGTTCAGGTAATTGCATAAATCCTACCTATGGCAGGAGAGTATGGAGCAAATAGTGGTCTTTCAGACAAATAGGGCTTCTCACCTGTCAGTTGTTTGATAACTACCAATAATTTTTCTGAGCATAAATGGTATTTATGGCTCTCATCGATATATAATCTGAGCACCTCCAAATCTTAAATGCATTTCTGCTCATAAAACCCCATGTGAGACAGGAGAGCTACTCTTGTCCCCATATTACAGATGGGACCCAAGGAAACAGAGCACAAGGCAACACAGGAAATCTTCAGCAAAGTAGGGAATTTCATTCTTTTTAAGGTCGGAGAAATGAGGCACAAAAGTGAGGAAAGGAATGAAATCCCCTGGATTAAAAGCAGGTGGGTTAAACTTGAATTTGGTATTTTTCTCTAACCAGAAATTATTTGTGTTTTAGCGATGTCAGCCACTGGATAAATGAATCCGGCAGTTTAGCAAATTCTCTCCCTTCACAGCAAATCCACTAGAGTGCTAACAATTATTGGTTCCAAAACTTGCTTGACATGTGTGAGTAAAAATAATTGTTTTATCATTGGTCAGATGGCTGAAGGTATAAGGAACAAGCAGTCAAATTAGTTACACTGTAATGTACCCTCATATAGGATTTGTAGAAAATCTATTTACCCTGCTTCCTCATTTATATTCATTTTATTCTTTCCATTCCAGGGCTCTTCATCAATTTGACCCAAGTTTGGTGCAGTAAATTCAGGAGACTTAATATTAGTTTGAGAGGGAACTCAGTGAAACTTACCAAGTTTTCTCTTAACTTAGTCTCCTTCAATTACCATTGCTATAGAGTCTTCATTATGTCCTACGATCCCAGTCATTAACTGATTACCACAGACTTCACTGGCACTCTGTGGAGTTTGGGATTCCATTTATGTGAAATCACTTTCAGGTCCAATTTCCCAAACACCTTTTTTTTTTTTTTTTTTCCTGTAGTAGACTTGAAAAAATAAAAATTCAATGTCATAGTCACTTTGGATTCACCTGTAGACTAGGTCTACATCACAGCTGGAAGCTAGCACACTAAATAGCTGTGTGGACATTGCAGCACATGTGGTGGCATGGGCTAGCCACCAGAGCTTGGACCTAGGGAGTCAGATAGGTTTGTATTCAGGCAGCTTACTCATGCTTCTGTCCATGAGTAATGTCCACACTGCTATTTTAAGTGCATTAGCCCCAACAGGGGAGAGGCACACTCCCAGCGTCTGTGTAGATGTCCCCTAGATTCTAAGACCAGCTTCTATTCTGATCATGTAGCCTGCCTGCTTGTATACAGGCCGTAGAACTTCCCAACATAGTCCCTTTTGAAAGCATACCTTTGAAAAAAGGCCTTCTAAGCAGGTAGGGCCAATAAAATTGTGGGGCCTCTGGGCAAGGTGAGGGGCCAAGCTCTGCACTCCCAGAAGAAAGGAGACCTCAGGCAGAGGGGGCTGGATTGGGGCAACCAGTGCTCAGCACAACACTGCACCCCCTCCCCAGCTGGTCCTCAGAGCCTCCTGGAATGCACTGCATGGTGCTCTGGTGCTGATTTAAAGGATCTGGGGTGATTTAAAGGATCAGCAGCAGTGGCCAGGAGCCCCAGGCCCTTCTTCATTGCTCGGCCCCTGAGTAGTTGCCCCTTTGGCCCTACTCCTGTCAGCAGGCCTGCTTCCAAGTCAGTTACTGTCTGCTCTTTGCTTGCTCTGAAGAATGCTTTTTCTTGATCTGTTTGTAAAGCTCTTTGTATTCTTCTTTGACTAGCATTAACTTACTTTTTTTTCTTCTATTTTTCCTGCTTCCTTACTCTGAGCATTCTTGCTTGGCTGTGTTCCAAACCATTGCAGTCAAAACACATCTGTACAGTAATTCATGAGTTTTTAAAAGATGTAAACAGCCAATAAATTGTTATGGGCTTTTGCCCACAGAGTCTAAGTAGCTTTGATTGTTAATACTTTTTTATTTTACTTACTTGGTTATTTAAAACTTTTTGCTGGGTAGTTGCAGCGAGCTCCATTCAAATACTACAGCAACATATGGGTCTTGCTCTTGAGTGTAAATGACTTATAGAGCAAAACAAAGCCTTGGGGCTCCATGAGATGGGTCCTGCCAACAGCCCTATGCAGGCGGGCTTCTGTATCTACACCATACCCCGTTGGCTTCGTGCTCCCTTTACAGGCTGCTTGCACAGATGCTATTATTGAATCAGGACATTCGATCTTGAAGCTATTGTGTGTGGGAGACCCTCTATGCCTAGGCAGAACCCTACCAATGTCAATAGGCTCCATGCAAGAGTCAATCTGCAATGAACAATTTGTAGAGTAGGGGCCTGAGGATTCATTCCTACCTTCAGTTACACATATGTTGCCCCTCGATTCACCCAGGCTCTGTTATTGCACTATTGTATGCTTAACTGGTCCCTATCAAAGAACATGATCCCTTTCCGTGCATTTTAAACATTCTGTTTTCTAGATATTTTTAATATACTTGAAAGCATTGCATCTCTCTGGGTCTCTGCAGGTTTCCATGAGGTCACTCCCCACCAAGGTACTGTATATGACTGCTTTCTATGAAAAGTCTTGGTTTCCTTTTATTCTTTATGCACACCACTTTGTTTCTATGTGGTCCCTCATTTCTCTATCCCTGGTAATAAAATGATCTACTGGAGCATGTGATCTGTAGAAAGAAAGAATTGCTCAGATGCTTGTCCTGCTGTTTTTTAAATTGTGCCCTTTTTACAGCCCTTTAAGAGGACTTTTCTGTAGTAGTTTTCAGCAGTAAACATTCCAAAGCATGAGGCAAAGGCTTAAAGCCACTTGCTAGGTAGTCAGCATATACTGAAATACTCCTTGAAAATCTGAATATATCTTAGCTTAAGAAAGCATGAATCCCAAGTGTAGGTCTTCAGGTTCCCACCCTACAACTGCAAACTGCTGCACCCATGCACTAGAGCCCTACATGCTCTCCGTTACAGAAGCACACAGCTTATTTGACTAAGTGACTGTTGAGCAAACAAAAAGTAGCCTATTATTCTCTGTGTTAGAATTGTGCTATTGTGCACCTTGCTAATGCTGCTTTTGGGGGTTGAGTAATTAATGCAAGTGGAAACAGAGATGCAGTGGTATGTTTTTTCTCAGAGACACTTAGGGTGTGATTGGGAATGTATGCCCAAAGAAAAAGCTTGATTAGCAAACTATGATAAGAATTTTGCTCTGCTTTAGCTACTGCTATAACTCTGTGGATGAGTCAGTTGACTAAACTGCTGGTGATATCTAGAGGAGTTTAGATGTGCAATGAGTGTTTTGGGCATAGAGTTGTCTACCCTTTGGGACTGGCCTTGGAATCTCCAGGAATTAAAGATTAATCTTTAATTAAAGATGATCATGTGATGAAATCTCCAGGAATATATCCAACCAAAATTGGAAACCCTATTTGAGCAGTAGGCAGGAATATGACAGAAGTAGAGATATCTCCATTGATAGGACAGGGTCAGGCTTTTGCCGACATGAAATCTGTTCCATGTTCCTAAAAGGATTTGGGCTCAGGAAAAGGAAGGAAGAAATGGGAATAGCGTGAGAGACTTTTTAATGGCAACCTGATGTCAAATGAAAAAGAAATATTGGTAATAATCAATAATACCTTAGTCAGATCTTTCTGTCAAACCTTCTGCTAACATAAAACGGCCTTGTTCATTTTTCTTTCTTATTCATTTATTAGGCTAGTGCCTAATGGCCTCACTGTGCTAAGAACTGTACAAACACCTACAACACCCACCATAAGAGAGCATTCCCATTCCCAAGAGCTTATAGTTCAAGCAACGAGACCAGCCAAATGTAGGGGAAAGGGCTACGATATACCAGCAAGTGATTAGGGTGTTTTGATACACATCCTGTGAGGCACGAGGTTGTTTTTGGGAGGGGTGAAGGGTGAGGATGGATGATAAGATGGAATAGATGAAATAGAGATGATGGTAAAGAGGACCTAAGGTAGGTGAGATGCTGAGGTAGGAAGGAGAAGGGAAGAAGCTAGGGTTAGTAAGAGGTTGCGCTGGCCAAAAAAATTCAGATTAAACCTTTTCTCATTAGAAAATGTGCTTTCATTTAAATGGGACCCCTATGCTGTACCTTGACAGTTCAGCATAGACAGAGACGATGGTGCATCTGGTAGTGGTCAAGCTGGGTAGTGGGATGCATATCAGAGAATGGGAGAATGAGGGACTCAGACCAGTAAGTTCCATGAAGCCACACGGAAGCTCAGATAGATGCACAGATTATTGTCTAGCCAGCCAGAAATGAAACATTTCCTCTTTTCCAAATCACATTTTTTCAGGGCAATTTCTTGAAAAGTTTTGGATATTTTGAGCTTTTGTCCCAAATGGGGTCAAAATATTGGCATTTCCTTGGGGATGGAAATTTCACTTTTAAATTATATCTAGTGGGAGGATTCACAGCCCAAAAAGAGGCCAGTGGCGATGTCATGAAGCTGAGGATCTAAGGACTACCTCCTGCTGCTTGTGAGAATGCTTTTGAGAGTTGCCTCAGAAGCCCCCTGTACCAGTAATTAGGGACATCCTTAGGAGGGTGCAGGGCTCAGGGCAGAAGTGACAAATCCATCACTTCTGTGACTGCCGCACCAGCAATCACGCCAGCCCAGGGGTGCTGACAGCCTCTGTGGGCCCCTGGCACGGTGTGGGAGGGTCAGCTCTCAATCCCAGAAGGGGTGGGGCCTCAACTAGAAGGGGAGGGGTGATGAATCTAGCCTTGAGCACTGCCCTGAGTGCACCATGCCAACCCCCAGGCATCCTCAGTGCTTCTTGAAATCTGGTGTGTCTCCCACACAGCCCATAGTGCTACCTGGAGCATGGCAGTGTGGTGCTCCATCAGTGATTTAAAGGGCCCAGGGCTCTGGCTGCAGCCACTGCCACAGTAACAGCAGCTGGGAATCCTGGGCCTCTTTAAATCACCAAGCCCTGGGGCGACTGCCTCCTCTGTCACCCCTCCCCCATCACTGGGCCTGTGCTAGCCCATGGGAGCACCTAAACCATGAGGCCACACCAATTTGCCATACTCTAGGGACAGCTCTGCCACCAGTAGTCATGTAAGTGGGGGGAGTGGGAGTTAGCTGCTTATAAACAAATTACAGTTGAGAACCTCTGCACATTGTATTTAGGGTTTGTGCATTATCCATAGGTAAAAAGTGGCTGGTTGGTCAAGCCAATGAAATGGGCTAGAAGTGTAACTTTGGGAAAGGGATGCATACTTTAAACAGCAGCAGCTATTTAATCTCCAACTTCTCCACCTCCTCTTAGGGCATGCCCCACCTGCAAACAAAAACAGAGTCATCAGTAATTACTACTTTTAGATCCTGCACCTGGATACATGCGATATGCCTCAGAAGTCCTCTGTACTAGTAATTAGGGACATCCCTAGGGAGGTGCAAGGCTCAGGGTAGAAGGTGCTAACACCTGTTTCTCTTGGGGTGATTGTTCTGTTCATTAAACATTCAAGTAATATTTTAATCAAAAATGAGGCCCAGTGCTGCAAATACTCAGGTACACAAGCAGCGTTACTCATTTCTTCAACAGGACTATTAACATAGTTATGTTGACAGGATTGGACCCACAGTCATTAAAGTAATGTAAGTTCTCAGGTAGGTTGGATACTTAGCATATTTATGAGCCATAATCATGTAGAAGGAATTTTAAAGCATTTACAGCACTTGGTTTATTTTCTGGTGGGTCATATGAAAAAATCATGATGGTATAATTTTTCTAAGCTATACTTCATTTTTGATGGCATGGCTTTATGATGTTCAAAGCAGCCTTTAAAATATGTCTGTTGTTACTGCGATATATGGCATTAGGTGAACAAAATGATATATATGGTGTTAATTGCCCTGAATAGACTCCAGATGCATGAAAACGCTCATCTTCCCTCTCGTTAATAAGCTTTGATTTCTGAACTGTCAACAAGCATTATTTATTAGAGCATTATGTCTGTGATGCTGTACAGTAGCTAAGAGCCTGTCAGCACAGTCATCCCAGCACTCCTTATTCCCTCCCTGCCCACGTAGTTTTCACAAAAGAAAAATTGTTGTGCACTGAAACTTAGTATGGAATTTCTCGTCTAAGCAGGCATATTAGGGCAGAAGTGGAGGTAAACTATAAATGAAAATGAGAGTTTGGGATGGTGTGTTTGAAGAGAGTTTGGTTGGAGCCTTTGGAAATACATTTCAGAATTTCTAAGAATTTGTGTGAAATGTGTATTCATACTGAATAGTTTCACTTTGTCTACTACTAGTTTGAGCAGAGGGCAGGGAACCAGGAACTGATATCTAGTAATAGATTTATCACAGACTCTTTCTGCGACTTTCTGCCATTCATTTAACATCTATGATTTGGCTTCCTAATCTGTAGCATCAGGATAAATACTTCTTATTTGCCTATTCTGGTGGAGTTAGTTGATTAAAATGTATAAAGTTATTTGGAAAAGGAAAACCCGCTTGTAAGGAGCTGCCAGCCAGCACAGCCCTGCTCTTCCTTCTGCAGCACAGCCCTGACCCCCAGCTGTGGTCAGAGCCACAGATTAAGTCCCCGTTATCTCCCAGCCCCCTGCCCTGAATCTTGCACCTCCCTGCCCTGAGCTCCCTTCCCACCCCCTGTCCTGACTCCTGTCCCCTCACACTTTCCTGCAGCCCCACTGCCCTGAAGGACCCGATCAATGCCAAGTAAATCTGTGTGTGTGTGCGTGTGTTTGTGTGTGTTGAAGTCACAGACAGACAGATGGAATTGAATGAACTTTTTGAATTTTGATTTTTTTTTGGCCAAAAAAGGGCAAATTTAGCACCGGTGGAATAGTTTTTTAATTCTTCCTGGTTTTGACCATCTCTAAATATTTACTTTTCATAAATATTTGTAATTTTAACCATGTATTCTTAATAGTGCAATTACATAACATTTTGCATTTAATTTCCTAGTTTGTTTTATTTTTAAAGAATTAAACTGCTTATGCTTAATTATGTTAACAACTCAATATTTTCACATTCTCAAGCTGCCAGTTAAGCATCCTTACAAGTAATTCTCGCATCAAGCCTTAGCTATTCTAATTTGATTACAAAGTTCAAATGAAGGAAAATCTGCCATGTCCCTGAGTAAGTTGTTCCAGTGATTATTTTCACCATTAAACACTTGTGTCTTATTTCTGCTCTGAATTTACTTGTGTGTTGTGTTTTGAATCTAGCTTTTGCCTGCTAGATTCAAAAACCTTCTATTTTTCTCCATGTAGGTATGCAGTGTTCCCATCTCCAACCATTCAAAGAGTGTGAGTCAGGACTCAGACACGAGACTGGGTTACATATCATTAGCTTTCTTTTTAATAATAAATGTAGGTCCATTGTATTCATCTTCTGGCTTCTGAGCCTTTGGAAAGCACTTAGGTCATGTATTAAAGCATTTTTCTGCAACCCTGAAAGCTAGAAATGACATTTTAAAAAAATTAAAGCTGAGGTTGTCAACAAATCACATAAATCCAGGAACTGGGGCCGTAAGAAAAACATCAGCTATCACGTTCTTGTGATAAAAGCACACAGGCTGGCAATGCTGCTCATGTTCAAGTTATCTTTTAAACTTCTCTTGGATAAATTAGATTGTGCTGCTTTAATCTCTCGCTGCCAGGCAGACCATTCTTTGCTGACGCCTTACCCATATGTCAATGTCCTTTTTGAAGTGTGAATTCTAGAAATGGGCACGGGCCAATGCCCTCCCACTTTTTGAAAGTGGACAGGTTTGTTCACTTATCAGCATAGCAGGGTTCACCTATCAGTGAACAAACCTGTCCACCCTCCTATACTCTTCATGCCATGCTCTCCAACCAACCCAGTGGCTGATGAAACCTAGCCAGGTAGTACAGGCCTGTGTGGGAGCTGCATGGAGCTTCCGCCTGCCCACAGTACAAGAACAGCCGCCCTGGGCTGTGTCCCTGGCACCAGGCACAGCACAGGGCAAGTGGAAGATCAGCAACACCACACCAGCTCCCCGCAGCTGCCCATGTGGCTCTGTCTCTGATCCAGCTGTGGTTGGAGGCATGGGGAGGTAAGAGCCACGTGGGCAGCTGTGGGGTGCCACAGACCCTCTGCCTGCCCTGGGTGGGGAAGACTGGGGACACAGGCCAGGCAGGAGCTGCTCTCCTTGTCCCCCCCTGCCCCTCCCCTGCACTGGTGGAGGATCTGCTATGGTTTCCTATAGCTGCTTGTTTTGCTCTTGTCAGACTGCACTGTGGCTCTGAGGCACCACCCCCTGGTCAGACCCAGGCAGGCACTATGGGATGTCTGGGTCCCTCAACCTGCACAGGACAGGGAGACGGGGCTGTTTTTGGTTCCCATCCACTCTGGGGCTGGGAGGAGTGAGCTTCCTGGTTCTGTTCCAGCTTGGTTGGGAGCAGGGCATTGGGGGAAGAGATGGGGTAGGGGCAGGGTCACTGGGGGGGTTGGCCCTTGGAACACCAGTTTTGGGAAGGCTCCAGTGCTCTCAAATGCAATATTCTGGCAATGACTGTCACTAGTGTTCTATGCAGTGTCAATAACAACTCTGTGCTTCTATTCGATATTCCCAGTATCACATTTGCTCCATTGGTCACTTCAGCGCAAAAGGAATTCATGTTGTTTTTCTACTGTGACCCCCAAGTTCTTTCCAAATGCAGTATTCCATCTTTAACACTTTTCAAAATACAATATGCCATCTTGTGTTATCTACATTTTTGATTCCTAGAGGTATAATATTGCATTTAGAGATATTAAAATGCATGTAGGTCAAGTGAGTCCAGTTTACCTTTGATCCAGGTTGGGCCTACTACATAGTAGGGTACAAGAGATGATACAAAGAATAAGACCGTTTTCAGTGTCAGACCACATGTGCCACATATTTAATTTAAAGGAAATCAAATGGGGACAGGAATTATCCTACTTTAATCTAGCCATGTAAAGATTATTTTTGTCATAAAAGGTGTAGTTAAACACAAAAGCTTTTCTGCACGCAAAAAAAGAGATGGGATGCAGTGAGGAGGCGTAGATTCATGACCTTTGATGTCATTGTGTGGCATTTCACATTTGTTATTTCCCTCATTCAATTGTGACTCCCAAACTGAACTATTTTTTCCATCTTAAATAATTTATGCTGTCTTTGAGGAGTGTATCACAAGCCTGCCTCTCAAGCTGTTAAAACCTTCATGTGGGACACAAAGTGTGATAAAGGCCCAGACTAATAGAGACACTCTCACATTATTCATGGAAGACACGTTAGATGTTGTGTGAGTCATTCCTTTTCTGTAACCAAATCTTTCTATAACTTTCGTTTCATGGTTGTTTATCTGTGATATAAATAGTGTTTCAACAAAAATGAGATTTGACATCAAATATGTATGGAATGCAGGTAATTATGGGACTAAAATGAGGTATATTAGAGATTTTAAGGACACGAAAATAATTCAGAAAATCAAATATCAGCCACACCACAGCAAAACTATATAAAGCACACAGAATAAACCAGCTTCAAAATTGCATATAAATCCTGTAACATGAGTAATTCAAGTGGTTCAGAGTTTGCTTCAAACAAAGACATGGGCATCTTCAGGTCTTAAAGACCTACAACATTCTATCACAACTTCCTTCCTCTACTTTATCTGCTTTAAGAAGGAGAAGAAATGATACCCCATCTAACATCATCTTCCCTTCTTTCCATACAGATCTTAAAGAGAGTGCAGGCAAACTCAAAGTGACTTCTCCAAGCCTTAATTTGTGGCAACCTTAGCCAAACAGGAAACTTTAAGAAATACCTTCACAATCAACTATGTAATGAAACTTAAGACTTCATGAAAGGGTGCATGGTGACTTTTGCTACCATCCTGAAATAAACCACAGGGCTGGAGGGTATTGTGTCCAACACTGATTACATTTTTGTGACATGAAAAAATGTCAAAAGAAGTTGTATGTATGCAGAAACTCTGCAATATCAGAAACAAATGTCTGATCTTGATTTCCTTTAATTTTATGATAAATTAGTAGGCGTAATTCATGCTGCTAAAAAACTCTAAAACAAAGAACTCTATTGTATGCTTACAATAATCGAGGCACGGGACATCAGAAGCTAATATCTTCATGCTCATAAAATTGGGGCATAGTCCAACCTCTGACTTTGAATGAGGGAACAAGTCCACCTCTTGTCATAATTTGCAAAATCAGGGTTTATATTATAACAAATCCCTGAAATCTCTGGAATTATTTGATGGATTTAAATGGGGGTGGGGGGAGAGGAGACGACCTAAGGAT